AGAGGAAAAGAGAACAGAGAAAAGGGAGCATTAGTTAAGTTTCCATTTATATAGCCACGATCCATTAGACTCTCATTCTGCATTGTATCTTTAGGTTGTTGGTTGTTTTCCAAAAACTCTGGCCTGTTCTTTTCTTTCTAAGGATAGTTCTGTTTTGATGTCACCCTTACCAGATCTGGGGTTATCCTCCTGGCGTGCTATGGAGACATAACCTTCAGACTAATCAGAACACCTTGGCATTGGCATTTGCTCCTGGAGGGCAGAGTCCTGCGCATCCCACAGTAGCAGCAGGGAAGGAGAATGCTTATGGAAAGGGACCCGAGGTTTTCTTACAGAGGACAGAGTCTGGGGGCTGAGTGCTCTCTTCTCCACTGCAGCAGAGCTGGGTGGCCTTTGTAGCAGATTCTCTTCACCATCCCCTCTCCAAATCCCTTGAAAAAGAGAGCTAAGAAACTGGAAAGGTTTGTCCTTCATCTCTCGGGTAGTATAGTTTTGAAAGGTGACTTTAAACACAGAAGTGACACCAGTGTTTATCCCTCTGCTGAAAGCATTCAGAAACCACCAGGCAAGTAGCTGAGGTATCTATTCCCAGCTGAAACAAAGGCCAGTGCTGTGGAAAGATCAGATTAATAAATATGGTGCTAGGAATAGAGGTATTTTGACAAGTAATTTTATGTCAGCAGTAACGCAGGGTGTGTACTGTGTTGGTGCAAGAAGGAAACCACGTGACGGGGTAATAGGGAATGTAATAATGCAATAGAAACGAGGGTGTGGTTTTTTTTTTTAATAGAAAAAAAATAAATACCTCACACACAAAATTCCACATGGGAAAATAGCTGCCTGCACATGTAAATGCATGTCCAAGAACAAAGATAGCCGCAGTGCCATGTTGGGTTTCTTTGTGGTTTAAAATTGTGTACGGTAATAAATCGTAATAAAGTATATATGTTTCTGTTTCTGTTTGTTTTGGTTTTGGTTTTTAATAGGAGGGAGGTGCTCCGCCCCCACGTGTCTGCAGTAGTGTGCTTAGCTTTAGGCTGGAGAAGCCCTGGGGGTAAGCGGCTGAGTTTGCCTCAGTGTTCTTTCCTTTACTCACCAGCTGTTTATGGGGACACCTGATAGATGATGGGCTCTGTGGTGGGTGCCAAGGAGCAGAGGTGAGATGGGTGCACACACGGAAATGACCCCACCTCAGGGACTTGTGGGGATATAGACAAGGGGAGACCTGAGTCCAGTTAAGGTTAATGGGAGACAGAAAGAGATGAAGACCCATTAGGTGGCATAGTGGTTACGGTGGCTGGATCCCACATGGTCGACTTTGAGTCCTGGATCCAGTGGCTTGAAAGACACACTGAGCATGCGTACATACATCCCCAGAATCCCAACAGAATGGAGGAGAAGGGACTGAGATGGAGCCCCCCCACCAGGGAATTTTTTTCACTTTCCCCTTTCTCTCTCTTTTTCTGTCTCCAGTGATTGCACACACCCTATAGCAAATTAAAAAGAGAAAAAGAAGGAAAGAAGAAAAAGAAAGAGAGATGAGTAAAGAGTGGGATTGGACTTCGAGGAGGGTGAATGTGATCTTGCTGAGGGGGGCGCTTGCTGTTTCATCAGCGGGTGGCCTATTCCTTCCTAGCATTTAAACTCTTAAGCTGAGTTTCCCATGGTTGGATTCCACTAATGTTGAGAGGCCATTCTGTTTTCATTCTGTATTCCTCCTGAAAGACTGTTTTAACCAGTCTATCCTGTTAGCTCCCTCTGCGGTTCAAGGTGTTGTTCAGTCCTTGCTGCTCTTAAATTTTGAAACACATTCTGCTTTTCTGCATTATTTGACTTAGAAAACAGATTTTGTGTGGAGGGACTTTTGCAGGATTCTCTCTCACTGTGTTAAACAGTGATGTCAGCAAGATAGATTAGGTTAGACTGTGGTAACAAATACCTGCAAATCTCAGTGCTCACTCTAGGACCTAAACTGATGGAGTCTGGATCTTGCCATGGGACTGCAAGATCACTGTGGCATTGGAAAGGAAACATTGCAGGGTCTTGCTCTAGCAATGGCATGATCCCACCACTTGCATTGCTTCAGGCAGAGCCGGACTATGACCCCATTTAACCATAATTCACTATTTCTCGTGCTGACAAAGGGAGAACTGGATACAGGTGAGCAGCACTAGTGACTTCCACAGGGATCTGGCCTATGAGGTATACAGTGTCCCTTGCTCAGCTCTTGGTAGGTGTTGGCTGAAACATGGGCATTGATCTAGTAAATAATTGATAAATAACTTAAAGAGTCTGGTCTTACCACAACCTGAAACTTAGTAATTGATATAATATTTACTAACATGATTCTACAATGGTTGTCAAGTAATAAAGTTACGATCTTTTCTCTTTTTGCCTGTTTTGAGTGCTTGTTTCCTTTAAGTGATAGGTCAGTAGGTACTTGCAAGGCTCATTCTAGGAGGTTATGTGCTTAGCGTTATGTAATAGGTGTTACTCACAGACTTTCTCTCCCTCACCATCTGCCTCTTGTCTACGACTTCCTGAATTTGTTTGGAAGAGCCCAAGGTAGAAAAAGAGTCACAATGGGCCTGAACTCACCCTACCTAGGAGGTGGCACCAAGTGGCAAAGACAGCCAGGCAACAGATCAGATCTAGAAGGGCAGGAATGTGTTCAGGGTAACATTGAGTCACTCTCTTGTTACTTGAATGTTTAGAGAAAGCAATTTAGACAAGGGGTTTTCTTGGTCATGGGACTAACAGACACCCAGAGAGTTCTGGGATGCTTGAGATCCCATCGGCAGCACATTGGGTGTTGGGTATGACGGCTGTAAGTTTTAAAGCCTTCTTCGCTGCACTCTCAAAATAGTTGGGTGCCATGAAACAGTCATTGCAAGTAACTGTGGCTGACGCAGATGGGGGCTTGTGGAGAGATTTTGCTTTGGGAAGAGCTGGTCACTCGGATATCTTTACTCACATTGTGATGACTGCACACAGGGGTTAGAATTTTTAAACTTTTGTAAGTGCTTTAAGCATAAATACGGAACTTACCAAAATAGTATTGTCTTTGGCACTGAAATCACTTTGGTGAAGTCTTTTTTATAAAGATAACACCATATATAGAAGTGATATGATGAACTGACTACCTCAGTCCCCAAGTCATGGTGACCCAAGGATGCAGTGGCCATACACTGTCACTTCTCTTGAGTAACAAGATGATGCACCCTAAGGTGTTCTGAGTTGGGAGGTGAGCCACCAGGAGACTGGCAGGAACAACCAGATATAGATCATCCAGGAAGCAATTCAGGGTGCCTGGAGTGGGCTGAGGGTGAAGCTCAGGCTAAGAAAGAAGGAAAATTAAGCCCTGAGGGGATAGTCTGGGAGTGTATTTGGGAAGCTCCAAAGTGCAATTTTTCTGTATTTTGTTTGGCTCCTGAGTCCTTACCGTTTGATTTTTTTTTTTTTTTGAGAGATTTTCACTGTAGGGCGCGTGCACTCGCCAGACAGACAGAGAGAGACATAGAGACAGAAAGCGAGAAATCACCCCCCAGGGGGGATGGTCATGCCGCAATCCCTTCTCCTCCATTCTCCTCTCGGGATCTTGGGCACGCACGCACACGCGCCCGGTGTGAGTTTCAAGCCACCGGATCCGGGACACGAACCGCGGTCGACTACATGGGAGTCCAGCGACATAGCCATTACGCTAACTGCTGGTTCCCCTTACCGTTTGAATTTTATATGAAAGGAGGCAGGTGTGGATTTTCCAGCTGCTTCCCCCATAGCTTCTTGAGTTACATAGGATGCTTTTGCAACAAGCTACACATCCCAGGAGTCCAACAGTCTGCCTCCATGCTGAAATCACAATTTGGAGAAGAGAACTTGTTCTATGTCTAAAGATTTTCCATTCCTAGTCAACTCACTGCCATTGTAGGATTTAGCGAGCGAGCCTCTGTAGGTCTATGTGACCTGCATTTCCTTCGGGTGGTTTGTGAAACCCATGGATTCCTGGCCTAGACCATAGTGGCTGCTGAGGCCTGGATATGCTCTGGAATTGTGCAAGTGTGTGGAACTAGTGATTTTCTTGTGAAGGGGATGAGTCAGGAAAGATGCCTTATTTACCACTTGCCGTATTAATTCCGGCATAGGTAAAATGTAGTGCACACCTCCTGCATGATAAAACTTACTTTGCACAGGCTTCCTGGGGTTTCAGACTTTTGCACAAAGACTGGGTTGGTCAAATGAAGATGTGCCACTGGTAGGGACCAAGTTGTGGGAAGCGGATTGGTTGCTGTAGGGCCCTGTCCTTGTATTGTCTCTTCCTCCTCCCCCAGGCCCCATCTGCCAAGGAAATGTTCTTTTCTGATTCAATTCTAACTTACAAATCCAGATAATCACACTTAACTACATTCCTCATTGTGATTTGACAAGAA